ATCATTATAATTTCAAGAAGAAAGAATACCTAATACCTACATATTTAACTAAAACTACTTCAGTGTAAATAAACATCCAAACTTGGGTAAAGTACTTACCTATGTAATGTAGATAAGTCAATGACCTGTCGTGAGTTCGTAAGTTTAGATACCTACCTATGTTTGCAGCAAATTTTAAAATGTTTATAATGCATTAATATAAAGGTTAAAATATGGAATATGTTAACAAACGTTTTTATATTTTTACGAGCAAAAATTCGAGCAAAAACTAAACACATCGCAGAGCTGTTCAACCTGCATACTTTGCGGGCCCCAAATGATGGAAGAAGTTTGATTATGAAGTGGAGCACGTAAATTTTTTTTCATGTTGTCCTATTTTTATGTATTACATAGTTGGTAAATATTTTAAATATTGGTGGAATACAAATTACGAGGTTCCTTATTTTTTTATAGATTTTAAATAAGTTTGTATTTTGTTCTAGGTCGAAAACGATATGGAAAACTACGTGAAGTACAAACTAGTTGGTGGTCCCCTCAAACTTAAAAAAGATGTTTTGCCTCACTAGTTTGCTTGTCAAAATCGGTATACAGAAAAACCACAAAGATTTTTACTATCGAAACTAAATGCAACTAAGGTCAGAAACAGTTGCACATGCGATTGCCACTACTTCACAAGAAATTGAGCATAGATATGTTGTCGATCCTGTTACTACTCTAGATGATAATATTGATATTGATCCCTTGCCTGAAGAATATATAACTATGCTTTTAATCATAATAATAAGGCGACCCTTTTTCTATTAATATTGAAAACATCTGATTTTTAGATAAAATCATATTTTTATACCCCGAAGGTATATTTGTAGTAAATTTCTTTATATACAACAGGATTTTTTTTAACCATAAAAACCACAAAAAGGTCAGGGTGCACTTAAGAAGAATAAGAAAACAAAACTAGTTAGAGGCAGATAGTAAGTAGGTAGGTAAGGAATGTTTACGTATTTTTGTTATACTTATTCTTATCATTAGCAAATGAAACCCAGAAGTATTAATGTAATAATGGGTACCTAGGTTATAAAATATTATCTTATGCGTATTTCAGCCGCGACAAAATCTTTGTTTCTTAGAAAATATTCCGCCACCATCATGTCACGGACTATTGGAAGGTTGTCAGATTGACCTTTTGAAACCCTTCTTCCATCATTAAATACTTAAAAACACCAGAGCGCACGACGGCGAACATCTCACCCGCGAAATATTACTACAAACATTGATTTATATATTAATTCAATGACTACAAACGTATGATCGGCGCGCTGGAACGGTATGGCGGCGCGGCCGCATGGAATCTATGACGCAGGTTACTGTTTGTGTAAACTTTCCACGCTTATAACTTCGGTAATAGTGCACCGATCGATGTGAAATAAAAACTAGAATTATATACTTAAAAGTTTAATATTGTAACCTTGTTATCTTCTCCATTACCTGCGTTTCCTTATATTTTCTTTTTTTATTTATTTCTTTATATATAAACAAAATAACCGTCATAGATAGGTTTACGTTAGGTGTGTATAGGTCCACCAAATTTTTGTTAAGTGACCTATAGTGTATTAAAATTTTGCATTGTAGCACCTCATTTAAAAAGAAACTGATAAATTTTATCATTTTTGCTTTAATTTTATTTATTTTATTAACAATTATAAATAATTTATCATCCGCGCATGCGCTCAACACATCTATACTAAGTATGGCGCGAAATTCAAAGATTTCCCCGTTTCGTTTTTTCTTTTCTTTATTAAACTGGCTTTACGGCTCTGGCTTCTAGACCTTCTGAGCCTATGCTTTCTTTTGGAATCTTCATTTTATGTTCTTTTTATTCAGAATATGCTGATGCGTCACATTGCGAAGTCCTTGGGAGATTTTTACGACAGCTCAACCTAGCGGACAGTTGATGACGACAGCCACTCAAGTTCATAAGGCGCCCAAGCGATCAAAATAACTTGAGGTTTATATCGACATCAAAGCACTTGTTTCGTCGTTTTCTCTAATAGTTCACACGCGTGGACACTTAATTCACAAAATCGCATCACTTTTACGAAACAAAATCCACTTAAAACCATTATTCAAGCGACAAAACAGGAGCTACAATCCGTCTACGGCCAAGTTCCCGCCAAAACTCTTTGACCCCGTTCCGTTTTCCCAACGTAGACCCATGGAGGTTAGAGAGATGGAGAACGATCGCTGTAGAAAATAGTGTCCCAGAAATATGGACAAAATAAGTGTAGCGCTGCGATCGCTAAGTTGTCTCAATAATATAAGTAAAATAAAAATATTTTCAGTCTATTTTTCCGATCAGATGCTAAAACACTTGCATATCCACACACAATACATCATTTCACCAGTTTTTAATGTTTCTTTTTGTCAAAAATTAAAAAATTACAAAAATGAGTGCCGCAAAGAAAATTTGTACATTATTCAACTAACTTCATCTACATGTACTCATAAACAGCTAACTTCGCAGATACTACTTACTGACGGTAGTTCAGAGACAGGCAGGCTATGCTTTAGCACGCTTTATGCTTTGGCGTATGCGCACGCTGATATATTCTAAATGAATCAGATAAAGTAATTGACTAAATAAAACGAGCTGAAATTTTTTTTGGGTATTTAATATTGCCTGTATTTTGATAAAATAATTAAACTAGTCTAGTTTATATTCAAATACACGAAAAAAATGACATTGATGTGGACAGTTTTAGTGATTTTATTGTGGTTGTATTCGACCTGAAAAATAACTCTGACGCTTATTTTCGTAAAATGCTCGAAAAGGAATTGTCTTCGCTCTAAAAACTGTAATGAAAAATTATGGTTTTGCTTTGTAATAGTACACTTAATTTGTTGTACAGGACTTCATTATCTAAAGCCGTAACTTTCTACAAATAATCCCCTCACATCGTTACGATATCGTCTTTGAAAAACCCTAAAATATGAAGTTTTCGGCGCGAAGCACTAATGTCCTATTTAATATTTTGTTATTAGTTTTTTTTAATTTAAGATAATAAATATGTCGTAGACAGAGAATTCTCTGTCTACGAAATATGTATTATTTCGCATTATGTTTCTATGTTATTTAATTAAATAAAAATTGTTTAAAGTTTTGATACGCAAAAGTGTCGCGATTTTGCGTAATATATATTTGCGCATGTGAATGTGAAATTACCTAGTGGAAGCGACAAAACGTGCTCCGATGGTGATGTAAACTTCAAGGTAATATATCTGATTAGGTGCCTAAAGATATTAACTATCGTCATTGACTGTCTGTCGGCACATGGCGTCGTCAAAATGTCTTAAAAACTCCAAAACATGAAGCTTCAAGATGTTTTATACCTTTAAAGGGTAGGTAGCTAGCAAGAAAACTCATGATACCATCTATTCCATCTGCGTGACTGGCGGTCTACCACTGTTCGATTTAAAAGAAGTTTTCTTCCTTGCACAACTTCCTTTTGGAATCAACTACCACCAGTGATTTTTCCGGACCGATACGACTTGGGGACCTTCGAGGAAAGAGCCTGTTGCTTTTAAAAGGCCGGCAACGCATCCGCAATTCCTCTGGTGTTGCAGTTGTTCATGGGCGGCGGTAATCAGGTGAATCGTATGATCGTTTGCCCCCTCTCCTATAAAAAAAAGCTTTCTATTACTAGTAATTGGAAAAAGCACAGCTGTGCGAGTTACAAATTCATTAATAAACAAAAACCTCTCTGATCTTAAACTGTCAAGTGTTGACTGTCATAAAGGTTTTGGCGGGAACTTGGCCGACAACGGACTATCGCTCCTGTTTTGTCGCTTGAATAATGGTTTGAAGTGGATTTTAATTCGTAAAAGTGATGTAATTTTGTGAATTAATTGTCTGCGCGTATGAACTATTAGAGAAAACGACGAAACAGTGCTCTGATGTCGATATAAACCTCAAGTTATTTTGATCGCTTAGGCAGCTTATGAACTTGAGTGGCTGTCGCTATCAACTGTACGCTGGGTTGAGCTGTCGTCAAAATCTCCCAAGGGCTTCGCAATGTGACGCGTCAGCATATTGTGAAGAAAAGAAAAAAAAGCGCGGGAACCTTGAAAGTGGACTGATAAATCTATATGGATTGAAATAGAATATAGAACTTATAAAGATTATAATATAAAGAAGACTTGGCTTTAGCCTTTGTGGTTTTTGAAAATATGAAGAATTAAAGAAAATAAAAAAGAAGAAAAATAAGACTTCGAGATTCCGGCCTCTACACTCCAAAATTCCATATAGTAATAAAAAAAGGCTGTATGGCTTAGTTCCTTTGCCTGCTCTCTCGAGCGAATAATAAAAACAACAACAATCGACTGTCATAACATAACCTTCAAATCTTATTAAAAAATTAAAATATCAATTAAAAAATCTGTATATAATTCGTGTTATATTGTAATAATAAAGAGAAAAGAAAGAAGTGTTTTTATTTTATTTTATTTTATTGAGTGAATCACACGTATTAAATAAACAAAGTAAATTGAAAAAAGACGGTATGAACTAAGTAATACTGATATATTACCCGTGTAGATTGAGTGTTTAATAATTTAGTTAAACTTCACTTTGGTTTATTATATTATACAAAATGTATCTTATTCTGAGTAGGTGTTGTCTCACACATAACGCTGTTGTAGAAGATTAAGATTGGATAAAATGGTCAAATTTTTTGATTTCCCTCGTAAATTCCATATTTTCTAAAAATAAATTAGAAATGTACAGTTAACCCTATAAGTGCTTCCGATATGTATAATAAGTAGTATGAGTATTCTGTTAAGATAATGTAGATAGAATTTAGAGTTCTGTTGACTTTAAGATTCAAAATATAATAGAATTAATTTTATATCTTTTTAGGCTAATGGCAGAGTCACTAAAATTGCACTTACAATTTGGGGGCGGAGCAGAATTGCTATTTGACAAAATAAAAAAGAGAGAAATTGAATTGCCAGCATTGAAAAAGTATTTCCCAGATTGTCAGCATGATAAATGGAATATCAGGGATTTGTTGGTTTGGATAAAAGATAACATTTTGCGAGAGAGACCAGAATTATTTTTACAGGTAGTGTAACTTATCATAATGTTTTCTTCCTTGGACTCAAAGTGTTTTCAGATCTATTACCAACACCTTAAAATTTTCACCAGGTCTAAATCTATGTAGGCATGAATCCTTCAAATTTAAATCATTAACCTATCACTCACTGCGCCCGCCATAACAAAAAACAGCTTTGTACCAGGGCGTCCGGTCACCTCAGCTGTCGGCACTTGTTTTAAATATTTATGTTTCTCAAGACCTTTCATTTATGTTTAAAGAGGTTTTAGTTACAGTTATTTAAAGCCGATAAGATTTTCGATAAGTAGAAACAATAACCATAACATTTAAATGTTTATTTTATTTTGTACAGCTCTTTGTTTCTAAAGGATCTTGATAAAGTGTACTTACTGACGATAAATTTTATTTTATGAATGAAATATCGTAAGTTTTTATTTTATTTTTATGTCCTTACAATCAATACAACATATTCTTTCTAAATAAAGGAAATTATGCATGTAAAAATTATAATAATTCTACTTTTTCACTTGCAAACATTTGCTAAAAATTCGACAATAGACAGTTTGCACGCGCTTACTAAACTCATTTTCAAAACCTTTTTGTGTATATATTTTATATCGTCTTCCTTTATTTTTCTTATACAATCATATAGATATAACATTTAGCAATTACTAATAAAAGTATTTACTATGGTATTCCAATAAGAAATATACTATTATTATCTTATTAGAATCTTATTGGAAATCTTGACCATTACGAATTGTTCGCGTAGAGGTTTTTTATTTCTACTTTTTTATCAATTGAAACGTAAAAAGTTACTGTTGTTGTAACTTAAATCATTCAAAAACATTACGTAGTATAGATAAATAACATTATGTACAGTTTTTTTGAAAGAAAATCCAACTAAAATCACAATCACAAAACTTCAACGATTACGTAACCAACCGCACCGGCACGCAAAAGCGAATGGCTGTTATATTTGATGATGCCTATGTACCCGAGTGAATATAATGCTACAGAATATTCTTTAGTTTGTTGAGAATCGAATGAAATAGTGTTCAATCGAAAATATACTGTATTTTTATATCAATTAATGACAAAAATAGCAGCATGTAATGCGGACATGTATACATGTCCTCTGTACTTAGCGGTCACAAAACTTGGACCTGTCAACATGTCCACGGTACCTTAGGGGCCTTTTAAGATATTATGTGTATAGACAAAGGATGATAGCGCTCCTTTCTTTTATAAAATATAGATGGTGAACAAGCACATAGTGCAGCTAATAGTAAGTGGGTGTTGTGGCCCAATCAGTGTTGCCATCACTGTATTTGGAAAGAGAGTGTGGCCGTGAAAGGAAAAGGGGAGATCTCCCGCCGGGCAAGGTGTTCTGCCCGGGGATTGGCCGACACACCGTGTGATAGTTCGTAGAAGTTCTATATATACTGTTTATGATTCGGAATGTTGATAGCGTGATTTGGGCTTCGGTGTGTTTCGCTTGCGGCGCGACGACAGCGCCGCCACAAGAGCTAGAATGATATGAAAAAAGAGCTAAATATAAAAGTATATGAAATTAATATTTTAATCAATAGCTTATATTGACATAGCGAAACATAAATTACTGTCTAATAATCTTAAAAATTGCAAATAAATATGTCAATGAAGAATTTTTTTACAGTATAAAAAAGTTGATAAACTTTAGACTTAAATATTATGATTAATCATCGTCGTAAGAACAATCATTCATTATCCTCTCAAACCTTGTGTCAAGTGGTCAGATCTGACCAAGGCGATATTCCGTCAAATTTCAAGAAGTCGGATTCGACCGCGCACACCCACAGCACTTTAAATCATTAAAACTTATAATGGTTTAAAATGCTGTGGGTGGGTGAGGTCGCATGCGACTGCTCGGGATTTGACGGACGCATGAGACTGCATGGGATTTTTATGGGGATTGAAGGGTTAAATTAATCAATACTATTCCACTTGTGCTTGCTTTTTCTCCATTTGCCCTTTAGTTTTCGTAAGTTGCCATTGTACCTAGTTTTTCAATATATTTTACAGCAATTTGTAGTTGTGACAGCATTTTTTAACTCACTGTAATCTAGACCTAATAGTCATTAATCACTTTGGTGGTGTCATTAGATTTATTCTTAAATCTATATCTTAATATATATAAATTACGTGTCACGTTGTTTGTCCGCGATGGACTCCTAAACTACTCAACCGATTTCAATAAAATTTGCACACCGTGTGCGGTTTGGTCCAACTTGAGAGATAGGATAGTTTTTTGCCCATGATTGAGCCACAATTTTTTTTGCGAATTTAAGGATGTTTAATAGGACATGACAAAGGGTCGTCGAAAAGAGCAGAACAACGTCTGCCTGACATGCTAGTTTATTTATATTTTTCAGAAAACCTCGAGAGGTTAAAATTTAGTTTTAATTCTGTCCATTGATCAATACTTTTTTAACTGCTGGTTCTATTGAAACGCGGTTCATTTATATCGTTCATAATTTATGAATGATATGAATTCTAGTCTATTATTTATGAATCATAAATAATAGACATAGACTAGGCAGTAATGGCTGCATTCAATTATTACAAAAGATTTGGATACACGCTTAATCAATACCTGAGAAAATTAAAACATTATTTTTTCATTTGGGGTACAATTCTGTAAAAATGCTATGGAGCTAATTACGTTTTGTAAATTGAGCTGAATTTAGTTCTAAAAGAGCTAAATTGGAAACAATGTGGTCCATTGACATCTACATCTATCCTCAATTAAGAGTTAAAATGCAGATGTGTCGTCATCCTTGAGGACTACGATAGAATGTTATGTTTCCAGTAAAAAGAGTCTTATGTTCTTTCCACTCATAATACGAAACACAGTAGCATTAGGCTGCTATTTTACTCTCGAGTTCTGTAAGAATGTGGTTGTTTCCAGTTCGAGCCACCTATTCATGCTAAAACGATAGCTGCAGTGTCTACTACATAAACCACCTGATAGTAATTGCCTACTAGAGTTTTAGATACCTGTGGCTAGCTCTCTATACTCTTCACACAGGAAGACAGTAGTATATGCATTTGTAATTCGAGGTCGAAATGTATAAGAAGATGATACCTATCCAGATGGAACCTTAGGCAGAAAAGAAGTTTGTCGTGCAGTAGCTTGCATTAATTTAAAAATAATTAATTTTAAATTGTTGATGGTGGTAGGTTCGGATCCAGCAAGGAACAAGTCATTGTATTGCCTGCAAGTAAATGTTCTTGGTCTGGATATTTGCCCATGTACAATTTATGTCAGTTAACTGCTGCTAACATTGTAATAAAAAAGTGTAGTAAATAATAAAAAAATTATATTGTTTCAGGGTGAATCAGTGAGGCCAGGAATTTTGGTTTTAATAAATGATGCTGACTGGGAATTGTTTGGAGAGCTTGATTATGAGTTACGGGATAATGATACAATAATGTTTATATCAACTTTACACGGCGGATAAATTATTCTTTTTATGTATATATCTTGTTTTATTTTACAAATTCCATGTAAGCTCAAACCTAAGTAACTGACATAGCACAACGGACAGTTAATTGATTTGACAAAGGGCTGACAACTGATATAGAAACGGACAACTGTTAGAAAGGTTCTCGAGTGGCAGTCTTGTATCGGTAAGCCAATAGTAGAGCAGCCACCCGCTAGATGTAGTGTCAAACTTGTAAAACATGCAGGAAGTAGAAGGGACTAATTTTTACATTGTGAAACCACGTTGCAGCTATATAACGACAGCACAGATGGTGTTGGCGACGCGCCTATAAAAATGTTTCAGTTTATTAAATCAACCGATGACGTTGCTATGAAAAAAGGGGTAGTCACGAGCAACGACGCTCTGATAAGAGAATGCTTAGTTAAATCTTTAAGAAATGTCGAATTAATGATATGAAGGTCTTGGGTTCGACTCCCAGGCCGGACTAGTTTGTTTGTTTTCCTAAGTAATATCGCTTAATAAATTCGTAAGGAATTTAAGATATAAATTATGTTACCGGATTTGTTCCCCGGTTGAAATCATCTTTCAAATGATGTAAATTCATAAGAATATTAAAGTGAAGTTAAAGATCGGATTTGTTCCCCGGTCGAGATAATCACTCTGTGCATAGGCAGAATTAATGGATATTAATTGCATAAATGTTGTTTTGTATAAGTTTGATACGTTTTGTACGAAAACAAATGCCTATTTGTTATGATTGATTAATGAGAACATTCATTTATATTGTTATCTGATTAAAGATAGTTTCATACAGTTCGAAAATTGTATAAAAGCATTTAATTTGCCTAATATGGTCAAAATTGGTGTATATCAGACTTTCATTTTTTCTGATAGCCGAGAGCCGTGCAAAAGTTAGTTGTTCAAATAGTGTGAGTTCATAGACGCACGCTAGGCCACGCCCTTAGGAGGCCGAATATGTAAAAATTTAAAATGTTTGTAATTCAGTGATTTATGTAAAAATTACTTGTAAAATATTTCAGGTTAATTGTACGTGCTAAAAAGGTAAATTCTGTGTTATTTTCATGTGAAAATTCCTGTGTATAAGTGAAATAATGATAGTTTTGTATAAGAAATTTAAAAGTGTTTTAAATAGTGAAATAAATAGAAAAAAATGTAAATTAAACTATTGTATTGGTTAGCTTATGTATAAATTCAAGTGAGAAACATTGTTTTAACTTTCTGTGTTAAATATTTAAGAAATTTCGATTTCGAACTTGTGAGTAAAATAGGCAGTTTTCGTTTAATAAATAAAAGGTTTTTTATGATATGAAGATATGATGTATATCATGGTGTAGATATTGTTTTGTACTACCTATATTGATAAATTGTATTTGTATATGATTTGAATAAATAAAGATATTGAGTAAAACGTGAGAGAGTAATAGAACAAATTCATGTAATTGAGTTGCGCAAGCGCGCGAATGGCGCGGCTCACTTTCGCGTATAGCTCTGGGGTAGCTTAGTGAACGGGTTTTATTGCAATTCGTTCGGGAATCCTTCGGGAAAGTACGAAAATCCTTCGGGAAAAGTGCAAAACCAGCAGTCAAGAAAGAAAAAGTATAGGGAAAAGTGATTACTCTCTCACGGAACGGTTTGAAGATAATTGCTGTTTCATTCCCAAGATCCTTTAAGTTATACAGTCCACATCGAAGAATTAAGGCGTCGGGACCGGGACGACTTCGGAAGACCCGTAATCCCCGTCTGAACCTACTTGCTGAAAAGGAAGAGGTTATCGCCCTAGTGTGTTACTCCGTTGCGGAGATCACATACGTTGTTCCCGAACCCAACGTAGGCGTGATAGGAGGCCGGATCGAGAGAAGCCTCGATTCCTGTTTCTTAGTACCCGATCCGCTAGGTCCTTTTCAATTGGTCCTTTTCAGGATCAAGAGGGACACCGACCTGGTCCTTTTCAATTGGTCCTTTGCGGCCGATTGAGAGGACGCCCGAACCTGAGTTCCTTTTCAATTGGTCCTTCGAGCAGGATTGAAGACCACCCGAACCCCGCCAGCTGGATCAAGGAACCAGCTGTGGACTGCTGGTTGTGGAAGAAGAAGACCTTCGGAAGCCGAGTGAAGATCAGCAACCGAAGGAAGCCAGAGGTTTGAGCTGAAGCAATAGGACCAAAGGCCTGAAGACCAGGACGGCAGCACTGAAGGGCTGGACCTGGAACTACCGGAAGAAAGAAAACCGGGATTGCAGCTTGGGGCGTGTGCTCGCATGGGGCACATATCGCAGCCGGGCGCAGGTGTCTTGTGAAGGCACTCATCGTGGCCAAGCAGGGCTTGGCATTTTTCCTGTCGGGCAAGCGTGCTCGGCATTTCCTGTCGGACGACCGTGTCCGGCATTTCCCGTCGGGTCATCAGGGTGCAAAAAGCATCCACCGCTGCTGCTGCCGGGCGAGGGTGCGCGTGGGCACCTGACTGCATCGCGGCCGGAGGAGGGCGCTTGGACGAGGCGTCACCGGCAACTGGGCGGCGAGCACAGCATACATCCCGACCACCTAACGGTGCCAAACGGTTGGGCTCTGGCATAACACCTTCGGGTGGAGCAGTTCTCTCGAGCGAGACTGCGCTTGCACTACCGCTCGACTGTTTCGTCATATTCCTTGGCGGGACAGTTCCTAAACCTTTCCTCCATTCCATTCCTGCACGACTCCATCCCTGGACGGCTCACCTCGGTAGGCCCCGTTCAGGATTGATAGGGCTGATAGGGCTGTTAGGGTGGTAGTAGGGTTGTAGGGTTGGGAGATAAAGGGGGGGAGGGGTAGTGGTGTTAGGTTGGGGTGTAGAAGGGGTTGTAGGGACCGTAGGGACAGTTAGGGACCGTAGGCCAACAATCACCTTCCTGCAAGATGAAGAAGGCACAAGACCAGACAGGGAGAAGCGAAGGGAGCAGGACAAGGACAGGGCTCTCAAGAAAAGCTAAAGAAGCGGAATCATCTGGAGCGACCACAGCTACTGCGTCAAATGGAGCAACTCCTCCAAGTGGAGCCACCACAGACACGTCCACATGCACGTGGGACTCAGGGACGTCCATGGCAACGACGAGCAACAGGACGGACACCAGTGGTACACAGGCCAGCACCGCACAACAATCCGTTATATCCAGGAGTGAAACGGTGGTCGAAAAAGTAGGTCAAAGGACCGAAGAAGCGGCATCGTCAAGGACAGTAATCGGGCACACTAGTGATAAAGGGTCACAGAGAGGTAGTAGGTCATCGCGATCGGCGAGGCTGAAAGCCGAATTAGAGGCGCGGATTAAATTCGAACGCTCAGAGCTCGAACGAGCACAGGCAGCTGCTGCCTTAGCCAAGTCTCAATTGGAGTTGGCACGACTCAACCGAGAAGAGGAAATCGACTCGAGTGAGGATGATGAAGAGCGGAATACTCAGGTGGAACCTTTCGTAAGGAGTTGGGTTCAGCAAACCATAATGAGCGCGCCGGTTAGTGTAGCACAACCCGATATTACTGATAAGGAAGCGTGTAAAGGATCACGCCGCAAAGGGGCGGAGGTCGAGCGCAACCTAGGAAATGCACAGAAAACACACGCGAGTGAGGTGTCAGAATTGACCGAAGCGATTGTGAGTGCAATAAAAATAGCTGGTAAAGATAAATCTTCCCAGCTTCATTTCCTCCAGGAATTACCGGTGTTCGATGGAGACCCGGGTGAATGGATAATTTTCAAAACGGTGTTTGAAGACACAAAAGGCCAATTTTCAGGGGTGCAAAATGTCGCACGCCTTAGGAGGGCATTAAAGGGCACCGCTAAAGAGGCGGTTAAGTCGCTGTTATTTACTTTATGTGAACCTGAAGAAATAATGAACGCTCTCGAAAGAAGATTCGGTAGGGTTGAGATGCTCATTCTAGCCGAAATCGAGAATGTAAAGCGTATGCCAAGATTGGCAGAAGATTGCCGAAATATAGGATCTTTTGCAAGTCGTATTACGAACGTGGTTGCCACAATACAAGCGTTGAATCAACCACAGTATTTATACTCACCGGAGTTAGTGAGCCGCATAGTGGAGAAACTTGGAACTATGATTAAATTTAAATGGTTTGAATATCGAGCTCAATATCCTTTGGAGCCAGAGTTACAGAAGATGGCCAAGTTTTTAAATTTATTGAGTGAACAATTTGGAACGTCCTTAAGCAATGAAAATGCGCCTGAAAAAAGGAAGCGTCCTGAATTCAGGAAGCAAACTGTACACACTGCAAAGGGAGGTGTACGCAGCTGTGCCGAGAGCGAGCGCTATATGCGCCGAAGTAATATGAGCGAGCGTTTAGAACGCCGAAATAATAAAAGGCACAACCGACAAGTGGTTATGATAACCCAGGACAAGCCTGTAAGTCGGGTAACACATAAGTGTGTTATATGCAACAAGGAGCACTCTATAGTGAGTTGTTACAAGTTTAAGGACATGAATATTCGCGAGAAATGGGAAGCCGTCAAAAAGGCCAAAGTATGTTTCCAATGTTTGTCACCTAACCATAGGAGGTTAGAGTGCAAAGCGAAAAAATGTGGTGTAGAAGGATGTAGAATGTCACATCATCGAATGCTACACCGATACCCCAATGAAAATACCTCGCCACAAGGGGACGAGGGGGGTAAAGATGCTCAGATTACAACTGTTAGTACAGTAAATGCACTGGCATGTGCGTATTTAAAGATCATACCGGTCGAGTTGCATGGGCCTAGAGGAAAGGTCAGGACAACAGCTCTTCTGGATGAGGGATCGACCATGACACTCATAGAGGAGTGGATGGCTCAGAAGTTAGCGCCTCGCGGACGTAAAGAGGGATTACGTATCGAAGCCGTGGGAGGTAAGCGAATTAACGACGATAGTTCGTATCGCTTAAACGTTAAAATAAAAGGCATTTATTCGAGCGACTTAGAAGAGATAAGTGTACAAACAATTAAGTCACTTAACCTCGCTCCTCAGTCGGTAAGCCGAGAAT